TGGGCTGTCCGGCTCCCAAGAAGAGCTCAACTGGGCACCACAAAGCCCACCCTTGAATTCCTTTTAAAGTTGGGTAGAACTGTGCATGTATACATTTTAAAGAGTTCAATCATATATGTTAGTTCCATCCTTATATATAACCCTAACTAGCATTCATATCATAATATATTAATTTTACATTTTCCTATTGCACATTACAAATTGAAGTGCTGCCGAATCAAAAGAAATGCTTACTTTAAAATGCAGAGAAATATTTTTTTTCAATACTGCATGATTAAGTATCCCCTTTAGCTTGGGAGGGGTAAAAAATGAGAGGAAAACATTAAAATCCAGACTCATTTTGGTTTTTCTTTAACTGAAACTCTAACTTGCTAAAAAAAATGTCCTTTGTTTTCCAACAAGTTCACTTGTGTGGGCTATATTTTAAGTTTTCAGCATCTTGCCGACAAATTCCAAATAGATAAAGTGATGTCGTGTTATATTTTTGGCAATAGTTTATCAAACGTTAATGTCATCAAAGTTAGTTAAGTGCCATTGCCTGGAACATTTGATTGTCCATCAGCCAAATTTCTAATAGAACGGCTAAGGTCTCAAGAAACTTGTAATGGTTGCTAGTACTTGAATATAGGAATTTACATTTGACTTGATGCCATGTCTTGCTCTGCATTCAAGCTTCAGAGGCAAAATTCCAAGAAGATAGTTTGTGAAACACAAAGGATAACAATACAGAATAGAAGGAAACAATATCCTTATATTTTTTATTTGAAACAATATTGCTCGAGATGATAATAACATTTCACATGCTTTATTTTTTGTTAATTAAAAAAAAAACTGAAGGTACCTAAACATTGAGACTAGGGCTTCACAAACATTCATTATTTAAATAAAGTAAAAAATAAAGAAAAGGTTATTTGTTCTAAAACCGATACCTCTTACAACTCTGTAGAAGAAGAAAAGGAGTTCTTCAGAAATCAGTTCATTTAAAACTAATTCTATAAATGTCCTGCTTATTCTTCCTTAATATCAGGATGTTGGGCTGAAAATGTAGCATTTATTCTTCAAGAATTTATTACTTCCATATTTATTCCACATTGACTTGGCATAGAATTTTTGCCATGATATTATCTCTGGAACACTAGAAGATATTTAGTATGGTTTGTCTTTTCTAATAATGCAACACAAAATGTCAGCAGATCAGAATGTACTGGCAGAACCTGACAAAGATATGAATGAAGGTACATCAATAAAGACCTAATAAGCAGAAAAGCAGTTAGAGAGGAAAGGTTTAAGGGAGGTGAGCAGAGATCAGTACAGAGCATATTTGTGGAGACAATTCATGAAAGTATGGATACAGCCTTGAAAGTCACGGCATAATTCACAGATGTACAAGTACCATTTTAGCTTTGCCAATCAGTGAGGAGAGTAGCTGGCAGGATATTGAGAGTTGGGACCTCAGGGAATGTGAGAATGTGGGAACGAAAATCGGACGTTGGGAAGGTTTTCATTTTTGGTGTTCGGCAGTTTTCAGAACTACAAGTTTTGTTGACATGTCTAGCCTGAGAGACAAAGGCCTCCTGAATTACCCACTAAACTCACCCTAAAAACTGGTCTTGAAATACATGTTTCTGAAAACATTGCAAAATACATTTCATAAATACCATATCAGATATCCTTTTTAAAAATCGCTCAAGTTTCATTTACTTTTGTTAGAATACTTGCAACTCACTCCATTTACATAATTAGCACAGAACTCCATTGTCCAAAGTAAACATTGTTGCCCAAGCAATGGTCTGAAGACAACTATGCAGAAAAATAATAAGACCCAAATAAACTCAGAGCAAGTTATTTTTCATGGCTATTACTCATATTCAGACTCTTAAAAAACTGAGGGGGAAAGGGAATATAGCAAGTATTCAAGTTGCTTTCTCCCTTTCCTACCCACCACCCTACTCTCCGCTGATGTTCACAACATTTTTTTGTAAACCTATGACAAAGTTTTAAAAAATCTAGATGCAAGTTTCAAGTAATGACTTCCATTTTGCAAGCAATGTTGCACAGATGATTCCTGATCTAATGTGTTTAAGTGATAACGCATTCTAGAGAAACTCTACTTCAGATTTTTATCTTTTCCCAAGCTAATAATATCCGTGAACTTTGTGTAAGCATGCTGAGCAACAGCACAAGCCACAGCTCCCAGCTAGTCACGCCATCAGAGGGAAACAAGCAACATTCTGCAGTGCACTGTGCTGTGTGTCTATGACATTTTTAGTAGGTGGCATGTATTAAATACAATTTTGACCTACAATATTTTCAACTTATCATGGGCTTATCAGATTATGCCATTATCAGTAGAGTAGCAACTGTATATTCGCTTTGTTTATAGCCACAGTGTGTTAGAAGGATTAAAGATTAATAGAAGAAAGAATATTAATGAATGGGGGAGGAAGGGAAGAGCTAAAATTATAAAAAGTATAAAGGATAGCAAAAAAGCATAGTATCCTTTATAGTTGAAAGAAGGTTTAGAAGAAAATAAGAAGATGGGTAGGTAACAACATATCTATTTGACAAATACAAAGATGGAGGTTTAGCAAGGTAAGTGTCTGCTCAGGATTCTTCACCTCTTAATAGGAGCAACGAATTAGAACTCTTCTGACCAAATCCTTCATCCTCTCTCTGATACCAGGCCAACTGTAATTAAGATACATGAGAACAAAGCTTTGGAAAATAATGTGAGGTTTTAACAATAAAAAGATAAAGAAAAACAGAAAAATAGATATGCCCACTTCAGAAATGAGATCTTCACATAGCAAAAAGCTGAAAGTTCAATTCTTTCCCAGCAAGAGTAATATAAATAGTGGATGCCTTGAAATAAAGAAATGATTTTCAAAGGCTCTATATTATAAAACAGCATACTATAAAATTCCTGAATAAAGACTTCAACATCATTACTATAAAAAACAAAATGTTTTGTTTGGTTGTTGGTTATTTTTTTGAACCTGTCATTGACACTGTCTCAACCCAGATGTTTCGAAGAATGGAACTTGCATTATTTTTAACATATTGTTTACCCAATACTATGTCAATTAATTCCATAATGTTGTATATTGATACTGAGGTTTTGTTGGGGCTTTTAACTGACCGGATCTTTATTCTGTTAGCCCTATCTTCAGACTAGAGAAGGTCTCCCCAAGAGGCCACTGAACTTATCTGGACAATAAGACGCTGAACTTTATGCTAGATATGTGTTTGCAAGGAACGAATCTCAACTGAACTTGAACTGTGGTTATGCAACAAGGTGGAGGAATCCACCATGGGGGGAGGGGTATGGGAGGGGTGGGGGGGAATCCCCAGTGCCTATAAAACTGTATCACATAATACAATGTTAACAACAATAAAAAAAAATGATACTTTTAGAGCCAGTCAGAATCTACCAGAATCATTGCAAGGCTGGAACCAAAAGAGTCCATCCCTCTATTGACATGTCATATCTTCTTATAATAGCACTGTCCAATAGAACTATAATGTTAAACTATACATGTAATTTTATGTTTCCTAGTAATCATTTGAAAACTTGAAACAGATGGAATGAATTTTAATAATGTATTTCATTTAATAATTTAACAGATATCATAATACTAAATATAGAAAATATTATGTCAGGAAATAATATAAATTGTTGTTAATGAAATACATTCTTTTTACATATTAAGGCTTCAAAATTGAGCATGTATTTCATACTTACAGTACTCTAAATTTGGGCTCCCCATGTGTCAAGGACTTAAACAGGCTTATGTCACTAACAGGTACCATTAGGAAAAATGCAACTTAGATGATCATAAATATAATATTTGGATGTCAACAGGAGTCCTAATGATTAAAGGTAATGATGTATGATACAACTTTCTTCTCTTGGCTGATGATACCAGAACTGTGAAAATCTCATGGAAATTCATAATCAGTTAATGTGACCATACTGTAGCTCTAGGAAACTGGTCATTGATCAAACTAAAGATCGCCTAAGCTCAAAAATGCTACAACTGCAGACATTGTGTGTAGTACTGTTTATCTTTCAAAGGGACTTTTATTTCCTTCAGAATTAGTCAAAAAGGAAACAATCCCAATAAGCTTTCTAAAAGTACACCGATATATGCACTGATATAGCAGGTTTTATGAGAACTATTTTAAAACTGAGCATTTACAAGACAGAAAAAATAATAGTATTTTTATGGATGTTCAGACATGAATATATGATTTAAATCTGAAAAAAATATTTAAAGCTTAAAAATCATTTGTGGGAAGGAGCAGACAGAAACCTGTAAACCTAAACTAATGATGGCCGATAATTAATCAGAAAAACATGGCTGCACAGAATTTTTTTAATTTAGTACATTATTGAGTTTATTAAAGATATTATGGGAGAATCAAGATGGCGGAATAGGGTAAGGACACATTTAAACAGACGGAGAAACATTCAATCAGGATGAAGCAGAGAGGACATATTTCAGGAAATAGGAAAGGACAGAACAACAGCAGAGGGGTACCTGGAGACTGACAGACACAGGAAAGCAGCGGGCACAGCAGTGTGGTATTGCAGTGAATGATACTCCAGCACGGTGATCTAAACTCCACCAGCAGCCGGAACTCCACCAGCAACCAGGTGGGAAGGGACTTTCACTGGGAGCTTGGGAGGTGAACCCAGATGGGGAACTGTCTGTCCTGCTGGTCTGATGGATTTGACCAGGAGCAGAGACAGAGCAGCAGATCCCAGTGTGAGAACAGTGAGAGTTTCATAGCCCAGTCAGCCCCCTAGAGCTGAACTGTTCGCCCTTTTGCCTAAGGAGGAAAGGGCAAGGGAAAGGACTGAGCATGCTCTGAGAGGGAGTGAGCTCATTTCTGACTCAGTGAACTGCAACGACGTGGCAGTCTACGGGTTCCATCCGGGACAGGTCTGGGTAACCCTAAGATCTAATGGCCAGCAAATCGAGAACTGTTTAGTGGTACGTCAGGCACCATTTTGCACACTGTGGCAATAGCTTTGGGACTGCAGGGGACAATAGTGAACTACGCATGTGCTGAGTTCACGAGAACTTGCTGAAGTCTCACAGAAAAATAATACTGACTGTGGCTTCGTATGGGTCAAAATAGGTCCGTGTGGCATCCAGACCTAACGTCCAACAGGTTTCAGCAAGATCAGTGTCACCAACAACCCAACTAGATAGAACACTTGGTGTCTCTCTAATACTGGGACCTGCTCCAACCAGAAGTGGGAGAAAGGTTGTGCAGACAATAATACAGCCACAACACGGTATCACAGGAGGTGGAGAGTGGTGAGCCAAGGGCTGGGGCTGTGGAGACCACGGTGGAAATCTAACATAAGAACCCAGACCTGGAACTCGCTGGAGGTTGTGGCACAAGTGGCTGCAAGCAAAAAGTTGTGTACCAACTGCAATAAGTAAAATCGCATTGTAGACCTGTGGGTGACACAGCTTAGAAACCTGCCCCAAGAAGAAGACTCTGCTAACCAGTAGTGTAATGATCAAGAGCAAAAGAAGAGACAAAGGCACATTGAATATTACCGAAAACTCCCCTGCAAAGGAGCAAAACCCTTTGCCAACCTCAGAGTTAACTGAGGAAGACATCGAGAAAATGGGGGGCACAGAATCCATAAGACTCATTTTAAAGATTCTGATCAAAAATGAGAAGCTCATGCAAGAGTACAAAGAATTCAAGGAAGCAGTAAAGCAAATCAAGGCTGGTATATCAGAAATTAAGAACACAGTAGAGCAAATTACAAGTACAGTGGAGAGTCTCCAAAATAGAATGAAGCAAGCAGAAGAAAGAATCTCAGAATTGGAAGATATCTCCTGTCACCAGGGAGAAGCAAACAAAAAGCCAGAAGCAGAGCTGGATCAGGCCAAAAAAAAAGGATTCGAGAATTGAAAGACAATATTAAGAGGCCAAATATAAGAGTTATGGGAGCCCCGGAAGGTGCAGAAAGAGAAGCTGAGTTTGCAAATGTATTTAATGAAATAATAAAGGAAAAATTCCCTAATCTAGAGAAAGAGATATTTAAAATTCTCAGAAATCAGTTCATGTATCTATAATCAGCTACTCTTTGACAAAAGGCTAAAAGCACTTTCAAAAAAAAGGAGAGACTCTTCAAATGGTGATGATGAAGTTGGGTCTCCACACACAAAATGTACATTAATTCTGGCCTTACCTCTAAACAACAATCAACTCGCCGTGGGTAAAGGGCTAGACCTAAGACCTGAAACCAATACAATTCTTGCAGAAAACAGGGAAAACGCAGCAAGACACTGGCATAGGCCAAGCCTTTCTTGGATAAGATCCCAGAAATACAGGCAATAAAAGTGAAAAGTGACAAATAGTATGATAACAAGGCAAGAAGATTCTGCACAGCAAGCTCAACAAAGAGGCAATCAACCGATTACATCTGGCAATGAATTAATACTTAAAACATATAAAGTACTGAGGAAACTTAAGATGTTAAAACTCGGGCAAAGAACATGAACAGTTATTTTTCAAAGATTGAAAACCAAATAACCAATAGACGCATGAAAAATGACTCATAGCCATGAGGAAAATACAAATGAAAACCACAATGAGGTTTCTCCTCACCCCAGTTTATAATGGCTATCATCTGAAAATCAAAACAACAACTGGCAAAGATGTAGAAAAAATGTACACTGTTCATTAGAATGTAAATACAATCATTAGGAAAATCAATAAGGAAGTTCTATAAAATCTTAATAATAATCTACCATATGACCCAGCCATCCCACTCATGTGAATTTACCTTAGAAAGAAAGTCAGCATATGAAGGAGTAATCTGTACATACACATTTATAGCAGCTCAAGTTACAATAGCAAAGTGTGGCATCAAAGCAGATGTCCATTCACTGATGACTGAATAAGGAAAATACGTTATATATACAAAATGGAATACTACTAAGCCATAAAAAAGCAAAAATCCTATGTTTTGCAACAAAATGAATGCAACTGCAAAACATTAAGCTTAGGGAAATAAGACACTGTAAGGCGAATACTATATTTTCTATTAATTGTGACAGCTAATATATAGAACACAAAAAATGCATTAAATATGAGTAAAACTGGCTTCTTAAGATTTGATTATTGTTTATAGAACTTGTCTATACTTCTGCTGAACAGTAGTCTTTATGCTGAGTTCTTTATTTAGTGGAGGATTATGCCTGTGATTACAAAGAAAATGAAAGGGTATTATTGTTAAAAAAAAATACAAGGAAAAAAACAAAAGGAAGGAAGGGGAGGAAGAATGGGCAACAGCATCTTTTGCTGAAACCCCATACATGAAGTGCATGAAATTTGTTCTGTCTGTATAAAGAATTTTTCATTTTTTTCATAGTTAATACAGCATTAGGTAACAGCACCATATTAGTCAACTTTTAAAATGAGAAAAGATTAGCACAGCCATTTCAACCAGAATCATCTCTTGATTGTAGGTGCTATCTGAAATAGAATTCTAAGAAACCACAAACATGTGGAATCCAGTTTAAATAAACAAAATAAATCACTTCTGACTGAAATGCTTTGATCAAGTTTCCACATGCAACAAAATAAAGAATGCTACCAACACCGGTCAAGTGGTTTTGCTAAGTATTCAGCAAGAGAAAAGCTACAGTATCAAAGGTGACAACAGAATTCTGTGTTAAATAATCATCCACTCATTTCTTTCCCCTTTAAGGTCATAATTTTATTCCTAATATACTCTTCAAATAAAGATACAAAAAGTTGACTCATTGTAGCTCAAATTGTTAGCTCATTTATTAAAAACTTAAGTCATATAAGACATTATTTTTATCCAGACAATCTTTAGAAAAGAAAAAGCACTTAATCTTTCATGGAGTTAGTACAGGTATTCTGTTCTCCAAAATACTATGTCTAATGGGAAAGCAACAGTATTCATTATGACAGCTTCATGTAGTTGTTTTAGAAACGTATGTCATGCATAAATTCTCTACGTTCATATACATATATAATATGTATACTTCATCTAAAATGTTTTATATTTATATACATATACATATATCATCAAAAACAATCATGAAATCAGTGAATAAGAAATAAGTTTAAATAACTACTTGAAGTCTATTATTGTTATTCAAATAATACCTTTGCATTAAATTTTTATCCAGTCACTTGTTTTCCTGTATATAAAACCAGAAGTCCAGGTCGAAGCAGAAATGGGGGAGGGACACTATACTGCCTATCTTCTGAAAGAGAATTAAGAAGTGACTTTCTCTTTATCCAGGACACTTCCAGTTTAACAATCGTTCTTCTTCTACTTATATAAATGAACAAATAGATGAGAATGTTTTCATTCATCCCTCTCTCCCTATTTCCTGCTACCATGCAGAAACTAGAAGTCCAAGAAAAACATACTGATTTTTACTAACCTGTTAACAGTGCAACACACATTTTATGTGGATGAATAATTGGATTCATTTGTCAGCTTTATAGTGGGGTTGGCTCTAAAACCCTGCAGCAAATCTTACTACAGCAAAGCTGATTCAAACTCTTCCTACTTAATTTTTATAGCACCCTCACTATGAATGAGAAGAAATTCCATTGACAATTTCTTAAAATTCTTAAGTCTTTTTTCTACGTACGTCTCAGTTCAACATGTGCTGATACAAATCACCAGTAAAGAACAGTCTGAGGAGAGGTGGCTACTAAGGCAGGTGTCTCACAGACTCTACAGCCTTACGCCCTCTCTAACTCAGTTATTACTCATGTTTCTAATCCCACACAATGAACTGTAAGCAAGAGGGTTACATGAAAGATTTACTTAAAAGTGCTGATTTAGACAGAAGGCACTATTTTTCCTTTTCACACCATTCACCTTCCTTCTGTCCCATACGGTAGGTAAGATGGCTGGGATTGCAGAAGTCATCCTAGCACATGAAGTAACTTAGAGAATGAAGTCAATTCATAAGGGTAACGGAACAGGTGGTTATGACATAGTGATTGTGGGAATACCTTCCTAGCTATGGACTGTACTTCTCCAGCCTCTTTTCACGTAACAAATTGTTTCCTTGTTTAAGTCACTATATTTTGAGTAATCTAAATGGACTGAAAAAAATAGAACAGAAAAATTTCACTGCAACAGTGAATATTGTGATCAACAGTGAATCAGAAAAGTAAAAACAAGACAGCAAACACAATTCTAAAAAGTACCCAATATTCGATACATTTCTAACCTATCTAGTGTGTTATACTTTTAGCAGCATTTTAGAGTGTATTCCTACTCATATAAAAATAGCTGCTGTGAAAGAGTGCCATTTATGCAAAGAGAAGCCTTATATTCCCCACTGATCATGCATCTTGATTGCAACCCTCTTTGTGCAAGCATACTCAGGGATGCATGCTTACGCAACAACAATCACCCAACAGAAAGGGTTCTCAGGAAATAAATTAATTTGTAAGGTATGCCTGTATTTTTATCGGACATAAATTTCTTGAGATGACTTGAAGCAGTGTAGTATAATGATGAGCAGAAAGACTATGGCACCAGGAAGTAAGATTCAGGTACTGGCTCTGCCACATCCCACATCCCATCTGTGACACTGGGTAAACTAATGGATCCATTTTCCCTTGGTTTATCCACCTATAAAAATGAATGGTAATGATACACTCTACCTCATAGGGTTGCTATGGGGATTTAATTAGTTAACATATGAAAAATATTTGAACATACTGGGTACAATTTGTAGTAATATTCTACAACAATAATTTCATTATATATTAGCAGTTTAATATTTAAAGGATTTTAGGAATCTGATCAACCATATTATCTCAACTATTCACTCATATATATACATATGAATTTATATGCAAATAAATTAATTTTTATATATTTCAACACTGAAATATGGGCATAGCCAAACACATTTAAGATGTAATATACATCACTAGAAGAGTGTCAAGAAAATATAATGATAACATTCAATAAGAAAAATGCCATTTGCAAACAGAATTCTATAGTCCTTGTGCATCAAATGTTACATTTGACTTGCAATTTTTAACTGATGTTATCCT